GGGCAAAACTGGTAACACAAAAGTGGAATACCGTCAAGCGCCAGGTGATTTATGTTTGATTAATGGGTAAGGGGGTGTGCGGGTGTCGGGGTGTGGGGTGGGGTACGTTACTTACTTGAATTATCTGCCGCGCATGTGTAATTCCCCGAGTCCCGGTGCAGCACGCGCGATATCACCAAATTGCTCGTCTTCATTTGCTGCTCCGATACGACGCGTATACCGCCGCGCGTTGAATCGTTAATTAATTCGCTGTCCTTGTACCACATCATGTGCGTGTAGGGCCCGGGCGCTTGCGGTGCGATGCACGTCAAATTAATGTCGCTGCCACTTTGTATGAAGAGTTCGCGATTCGAGAGGATTTGCGCCTTCGATGCTGCATATGCGCACGTGTGTGTGTGTGTGTGTGTGTGTGCATCGGCATCATCAGCAAACCAGCCAGCCAGGTGGCACAAATGGAGCATCCAACGCGCAGACCATTCACCCATCCAGTTTATTTATTTGGTATAAGTGCGTGACGGTGAAGTAGCGAGTGTAGGCGATTCGTTGGTTTTATGATTATTTGCGTTTGCGTTTGTTTTTATTTTTATTGTTGGAGTATAGATGTTGTACGCATTTACCAATACCGGTAACATTGCAGAGGCGTTTACATTGGCATTGCATTTCATTGCCGTAATCAGCGTTAATTGCGAAAAATGCAAAAAAAAATAAAATAGAGAGAACAAAATGGCGTGAGTTAGGGAATTGTAATGTTGTAAAAACGAATAAGAAGAAGTGAATAACCTTTTGTGTGGTTAGTCACATGATAGGCGGTAAGTGAGCACTAATTGAGAGGGATTTATCTTCGTTCTCGGTTAATTAGTGCCATTCTGCTGAATTATCACTTTTAGCCAAATACTTAGTGGAAGGGAATTTAGGTGTGCCTCTAACAGTCACACACAAAGCGCTTCGCCGACGCCCTTAAGCACTGCATATGCCTTCCTATTAATTAACTTACCGAAGCATTCAACAACTGGGCACTCACTTATGCTAAGTATTGTCAAATAATTAAATATTCATTACATTTCGTTAGTTCGTTACTGCGAAATGTTAATTCTGTGTTCACTGTTGCTTCTCTAGTAATAACGCTGTGAAAAGTGACTTAGTACAAGTGGGTGCTCTGAGCGAACAATTCCCGAAACTATGTTTAAAATTTGTCTAAGATCGTGAAATTTTCATATGAATTGAAAAATTTTAATCTATAAGATTTACTAAGCATGTGCGGTTGCTAAGACGGATTTAGAATGCAATACATAATACGTATTATTATGCTGCTGCACTTACCGTCAATTTTTGTTTTCGCACTGAGTGTGGGGAGACGGAAATTGCTGACGGCAGAGATTTGAGCACTTGTGTCTTTTCAATGCCACCATTACCTTTGTTGCAGAGAATGTTAGAATAGGTGTAGGCGAAGGTGTTGAGGACAAAACTCATGTCTCCTTCAATCTCAGAAGGTATAATTAGTTTTTTGCTCTTGCTGAGCTGATGGGACTGCAGACAACCTGTTGGACCACTGACTGGTCACTTCATGTGGCACAAACACCTGACTGTGATAGACGTACATGAAAACTCCATTTTCCCATCCTGCCTTGCAGAGGATCAGATGGTGGAACAATTTCTGTGCTTCTGTCCCGCCTTTGCAAGAATTATGTGTGAGACAGTTGGCCGAGATGTGTTGAGAAACGAACACCTGAGCTCTTTGACACCCAACAATCTCAATCTATTCTAAAATCGTGCAGATTTAAAAGAGATTAAAAGGGGCATGCAAACAGTACAATGGACAACATGTAGACTGAGTGTTGTTTTCCGCACGCACTGTGAAATTGAAAATAAAAGAGTACCTTAACATTTTTTACTTTCAAAGTAGGCGCATAACATAGAATAATTTCAAATAATAAATATACAAAATTTTCCAAAACTTGTGTTCATTTTTATTACTTTTAATATTTCAAGGTAATGTTTCTTTTTAATGGAACTCACTATCACTCCTTAAAGAAACGAAAAATGTATGAAACTATAACAATTTTAATATAACAGCAAATTCAATTTTTCCTAATTCTAGGAAAATTCAGGAGGCCATTGGCTGCGTTAGCATAAAGCTTAGAGACTCGGTTCCACTGAATGTTGAGAGCATTGGGAGCGGATCCTCTGCCGGAGGAAGGAGAGAAAGGAAAACTCTGGCTTATATCCGACTATGAATATGCCGCACGATGAAGATGTGGAGCCATCTCAAACGCTGCTAGGGAGCGCTCTAGGAGAAGCTAAGCGAAGGAAAGCTGGTATTAATGCAGGGTCAAACTCGCCTTATTCAGTTTGGGAAAGCTCGGACAAAAACTCGCAAGGTAAGCCACTTTTTGAGTTTATCTTAAGGGAAGGCTTACTTATTTCTAAAAGGGGATATTCCTTTAGTAACACTCCTTTTCAGATCACAGCATCCAATTCTTTTTAAACGAAACGCGTGCTCTAAGCAAATCCTTCTGGAATCTGAGGAGTACGAAGCGGGATTTGTACTGCACGAATCTACGCCAAGCACTCCCTGATGCGCCAGCAGTAAACTCGGTGCAGTCGGCGGATTTGCTAGATGAGCTTGTCGAAGCTTTCAGCTCTGCGTGCAGAGAGGCTCTTGAGAAAGCGAATCCGCTTTGGTGGACGGGGGAGCTTTTTGAGTTACAATTTCTTGGAAAGTTTATAAGGTTGGACGAGGAATCTACAAGTCCGAGATCAGAAAGACGAAAAGAGTTTCGTGGAAGACATTCTGCGAAGAGGTACAAGGCTGTCATTAATCCTCTAAATTTAAGCGAATTCTCGTTCTGGTGGGTTACTTGAGGGATGAGACAGGACACTGCACTATGAGTAGCGGGCTGTCACTGGACTTGCTCCTTGCAATTCTTCCTCAGAGGAAATTTCCTTAAGGAAAGTGCGCGGTGACTGCGCTGTTTTTTCTGACCTTCAAATTTCTAGATCCTGATGGCTTCATACCTGCGCACCTGCAAAAATCTATGAAGGTGTTGCGCCGTTGGCTCCCGCTTATCATGGGGCCATGGTGGTGTGCATTCCAAAGGCCGGAAGGAGCTGTCATGTTGCCCCTAAAGACTTCAGGTTATTCAGTCCCTTATCTCTTGTACCGAAAACATTGGAGAGGTTAGTTGACCTGCAGTTTAGGAGCGTGACTTCTCGAGATCGCCTACCAAGAGTTCAGCATGCTTATTGTAAAGGAATATCCGAAGAAACTGGCCTACACACAATTATGAGGTGGATAGTGGAAGCCTTGTTGGATAAGCTTGGGGTTGGTGTCAGTCTCATTCGGCTGATCCAAAACTTGCTACGTGAAATAACTGCCATGAGCATATGTGGCATTGAGTTTTTAAGTAAATAATTAAAACTATTCTCTCAAAACTATATGAGTACAGTCAAATTGGAATAGAAATCTATTTTCTGTGAGGCTAGTCACAAGGAATGTACATAAAACTTGATTTTTTGAACTCAGAAATTTCGAAAACAAGTATAGTCGATATTATTTCTCTACATTTTAGGGCCTCAAGAGTACGGAGTTCTTCACAACAAGTACTCCTATAGATAATTCATTGGCGATACTCACTCACAACCATCAGCTTGTACGCCTGACTGATTTTCGGCTCTGTTGACACCTGGCACTCGTAGATGCCAGCGTCACGCGGCTGCACCGACACCACCTTCAGCACCCACTCGTCCGAGTTGTCGATGTGTCGCGCCAGGAAGCGCTGATCATTCGTATACGTCATGATGCCAATGGTGAGAATGTGCAGGTCTCGCTTGCGTATCCACGAAACGGCGCGATCACCAAGATTTCGCACACGGCAGTGCATGCGGGCTGTGGTGCCGACGGCCGCGATCACTTCGCGTTCGGTGGTGTTTTCAAATTGCGGCTCAACGCTGCTGCCGACGCCTTCGAAACTGTCCACGATGGCATTAGAGAGTTCGAGCTGTGAAAGAGATGCCAGCGATGCGGATGAAGACGATGACAACGACGAGAGTGATGTAGTGGATGGCAGCTGTGCTGCTAGTGACATCGATTCCAAAAACTGCTGAGGCAGCTGATGCCCACTGGGTGTGAGTGTATGTAATGGTGGCGGCGCCATCGTCGGCGGCGTATGGTGATGATGTGGCGGATGTCTTGTCGTACCCTCGAATGCTGCAATGAGAAGTATGGAGGTAGAGTTGAAAATTTTTAAAAATTCGCTTGATTTTCTAACAAATTTATGTATTTAGAACCACACCATAATTTTAATAAATATCGCAAGTGGAATAACTTTTCTATATCTATTATTAAAGGTGCGATATGTGTAACCATGGCAACAAATTAAAAGTAAATGCTACCCATTTCCAATTACTTGTTACTTAGCAAATACCCAACTTAACCACCTCATTTTGTCAACGCTCACGTTTTTTCAACAATCCATTATCCTTGATTTTAGCAAATTAACCAGAAAAAAATTATTTGGCTTACTTAGCTGTTGGTAGGCAATTCGAGCCGACGTGCTTTGTTTGCCAATTACCAATTGATTTTTATTGTCGGCTTGTTGTTATCATTGCCCAATAAACCCAATAAACCGTCATCAGGTTAGTAAGTGTGTGCCAGCAAAAGTCCATCTTATTGTCAGAGCAATGTTGTTGCCTTCGATTGTTATGAAAGTATTGGTATATATGTATGTATGTATTTTCTATTTCTTCCGCCAGAACAATCACCGTTGGGATTCGGCGAAGTCAGCAAAAAGCACATCAACCGCATATACATATATATGTACATTCATACATACAAATACTGTCTAGAAAAACATCGTTGTTTTCTGATTCGTTAAATATGGGTTACTTAAAGAATTATGAATGGGTAAACACAACGAAGGTCTAGGATAACATTGAAAATTTCCCTGCATGTGGGTGGAATTGTGAGTTTTATTATTTATGGAAAGAACTTAAATTAAAGCAAATCGCATTAAATTTAATCGTTTTTAGTTGGGATTTAGTAAGTTTTCCTTCCCTTGAAAATGTGTTCGTAGTGACAATATATTTATCTCTCTTCCAAAAAAAAAAAAAACACGTAAACACCAATCGCATCAGGTCCTTTAATTTTTGTTTGGCTCAAACGCTGAAATGTTTTCCAAAATATCGTTTGTCCCTTTGAAAGCGTGATAATTTATATGTCGCTTGGAGTTTTTACAAATATCAGGATAAATTCGAACAAAACAAACTCTCCTGACAGAAGTATATCGAAACTATTTATTTGAATCTCAATTAATATTATTTTTTGGAAACCAAAATCCAAGATGGTTTTCCACACTCTCAAAATGCTTATTTGTGTACAAAACTAGATTTAATTTTAATATATTTTTAAACGGATTTAAAACGGCTGAACAAAGCACTCTTCCGAGTCCTATGCAATTTCTTCCCTTAAGGAAGTGTCACACGATTGGGCATTTGCCCAAAATTTGGTGAAAATGGTGTCCCGATCATGTGAATGTACACATATTTTCCTTTATCCCAATCACAACAAACAATATGTACAAATTCAATAGAAGTTCGCTGTATTGCACCAATCGTGTGACTACAAAAAAATTTTCGTCAAAATTTTTTATTTTGAAAAAAAAAAATTCCTTCTCAACAGATTTCTATTTTTCATCTGTCAGTGGGAAACTTATATCGACTACCAGTGTTTGCAATCAATGATCTGATGAAATGGACGTCGTGAGGCTATTCTTCTCAAAAACAAATTTTTTGAGAATCTCCTTGATTTTCCACCTGTATAAAAAGGGTATTTGCTTTGGAAGTGTAGACCTTAAAATTTATGTAAACAAAATAAAAATGACTATAAACATCTGTTTGTACAGCCAGTAAATAGTTGAAAAAGTGTACAAGACAAATAGACAAATTAGGAGCCCGTAGCAAACTTATCATGTCGTGGCTGCCTGGTGATGAGAGCTTTGATGGTAACGAAAGAGGTGATACTCTCGCACAATTCGTAGACCAATGCAGCCTCTATGGCCTTAAGTCTTTTACGGTTCATCCAAATTAAAACCGGCAGAGCTCTCAAGGAGAAGGGAGGATTCTCAGTTAGCAACCTAAGGGATTTGAAACTTCCTCTCATGAAGTCTCCGAGTGGACGCTTAATCTTAGATGGTGGGGTCTAAAAACTATAATTGGATACCTGACAAGACATAGTACGCTAAGGCACTACTTTTATAAAACCAGTGTGCTGCCACCTTAACCTCAGTAGCCATAGTCACATATACCTTGGAGAGCCATTTATGTCTCCATTCAGAAACCTGAACATGGCACCTTGCAAAGTTCTTAACTTTATAAACTGCCTGGAGTGATTCCTTAAAGGTTCGCAAAATGGACCTAGCTGATTCGCTGCGCTAGTATGCTCTAACAACTATAAAATAATCCCAGATAAAATAATCTAAACCCATTAAATCGTACAGTAGCTAATCAGCACTTCCATTTAGAAGTTTGTAAATTTGCCCAATTTGTAAACTGGAATGGCCAACCAAACTGCTGGAACTGACCGCAAAGCTTTTCTTCGCCTAACTTTTCATTCAGAAACGGACAATAGAGAAAAGAGCGGAGCAAGTGGATCATCAAATTTAGAGCTTAAATGAAATTATTGCTCAATTAGTGATGAGTTGATCAACGATTACAACTGATGAGTGATGAATGCTAGATACGCAAAAGAGGCAGAACGCTATTTTATGAGGAGTAATATTTCGAGTGGCATTGGAGCTTGAGGTAAATATAGCGGCGAAAAACTCGAGCTATATTAAACATAAATTAAGCGCTCTGCTTTTTTTAACTCACAAGGAAATCGAAATTGATTGCACTTGAATTGATTGTGGTGAGGAGGAAGATGGAAGCTTTATTCCTCAGTGAGGAATTTTTACGATATCTGTCTTAAAACACACTACTAAAAAAAATTATAGGAGATTTTAGAAAATGCAAATTAAAACTAAATAGAGAGAATGTCTGATCCGTATGCCGGCATAACTGAAAAATTTTGTTTAAGCCCGTGAACCAAACCAGAAAATAGCAAAACTAATATATCGCGCTGTCTTTCAGTATTACATGAGAATCGTAGCTTCCAGAAATTTTTACAAAAGATATCTGAAAACAAGAATGTTACCCAAAGCTTAATTTTTTAAATTCTCAATACGACCGAAATGCAGACTGTCAAAAATCACCGAAAATTTTTTTTTTTTTTAATATTGTATTATCTGCGTACATTGGTAGGTAAGACTCGTGAAACCCCATTTTTATTCACGCCAACGTAAACTTCTGTCGAGTCTCCCGTGGACCGCTGGAGGTCCACCTGGACCACATGGAAAACTTTGGGCGCTTTTAGTGACCTCTAAATATTTTTTGATGTCAAAATAAAAAATAAGGGTATATTTTTATTTCGGTATAGAACCAACCTAGGGAGTGAGAGCATTACAATTCCGACTTTACTTTTTCACATGCATTTTTGGACCACACTATTATACATACATACACACTCGTATGATCATGCTATTTCTATACATATAAGTGGTATTAATTCACGTGTAAAAACACAGTTGACTTAGCACAGCATAATTTATGCATCACTCCTGTTAAGCAAAACAATTTTACAGTTAAGCCGTTGAAGATAAATCTCTGAGGCTTCGTAGTGCATATGCAGTATTTGTGCGTCAAAATTTCAAATATACAAATCGATTTCTTACTTAAACTAAACAAATTTTATTTGGTGCATAGCGCTTAAAAAATTGGCTTAATTTCTTAACCCGATAAACCTACATTTATTTTTTTATTTGCAATTGTTAACCTACTCTTGAACTACACATACATATGTATGTGCCTACTATGTCGGTAAAAGCATAACATAAAGGACACTCGTACTTAGCGATTTGTCAAGACCATTCATCAGTCATAAATATCCGCAGCCAATTGTAATAAGTAATCGACAACATGCCCAAAATTCAATAAATTAAGGAATTACAAGTCTTTAACAGCCTAAAATTATCGGCATTCCTGTTCGTTCTTCCATTGTGTTGCATATATAAATTTATGGACTTGGCTTCCATTTGTTTTTCAAAAGCTTCATAAATATATAGATAGTCTCATGGGCACACATTTCAATATGTATTCCAATACCAAACGCAAGTGAGTTTCTTCATTCTGGTGCATACTTCCTTTTCGCTTTGCCAGCAATTTATCACAATCGTTCGTTCGTTGATTGTATGGTTTACTTTTGTACACAAGAAGATAATAATGTTTGTAAACAGTTCACACAGTTTCTCGTAAATAAGTAAATATGCACCCTGCGAGGAAAATCTCATTTTGTAAACATAAAACGGAGTAAATAATCACAAAAACTGCTTTACTAATGTCTTTTTCTCTACAGGGTATCTATTTTACCAGTTTCCCATACATATTCATCAATAACGAAATGATTATTTATTATCGGTGTTAAGTAAAATATCCCCTGCAAACAACATTTCATACACAGGGCATGTACAACATGTGCGGGTATGTTCATTAGACTGATTCAAAAAAAAATCTAGTAATTTTTTTTTTAATACCTACGGAGGGATGTAAAAGGGTGCCTGTTAAAAGTTCAATCCTTAATATTAAATTTGTTTTTAACTTTGGAATTGGGTTTCTCGTCTTTTAATTATGACACTGAAAAGTGCGATAAATATTTAAGTACGAAATTAGACGCCCTACATTTTTTGATAAACTTACTAGTTTAACGGTTATCCGAACTTAAAATAAAATTAATGTCATTACTATAGTTTCTTTCTTCTATTCCAGGTAAAATAATCAGAGTTATTTTTAACTATCCAAAAACGAATTTAAATTTAAAAATTTAATTTGTAAAGTTTAATAACAGCCGGTTTCACAAGCAATTTAAATGGAAAATGAGTTTAAATTTTCTGTCGATTTCTATATAAAATTCAAAAATTTGATATAATTTTTCACTTAAATTGTGTTCGCGAAATTGGCTATAGGTCTTGCAAAATTAATTTCACTAAAACCCTCATTTCGGGAAAAAATTAATTAAAATAGTTTCTATTGTATTCAGCTAGTTATGTTCGAAAGTTTGGTTTATCAGCTCTAGACTAAAAATTATTTTAATAACAGTGAGTAACAATTTGCAGCATT